TGTCTGTCTGTCTGTCTGTCCTTGGTAGGCGAGGCCCTGCTCCAACAAGCTAACCTATGTTGTTGCTAGCTAACAGCTAGCTGGGTCTTGTTTTAATCAGATTTTTTTTAAAAAACGCGCTTTTAGAGTTAAAACGCGGAGCCAGTTCACTTTGTCTGCTTCCTACCTGGTGCACCGCTGACAGAGATCGGCCAAACGTCCGGTAAACACATCTGGATCGCGATAACATAGCGCTAGCTGGCGGCTGTGTCCCTTATTTGACAGCGGTAGACGGAGCGGTACGGAAGCCCGCTGTTCCCAGGCGCCGGGGCGGTCCCACTGGAAGGAACCACTGCGGCTGGTTGGGAGAGGGGGGACTCGGGGGTACCGGGGTACGGGGACGGGGGGAGCTGGGACTGTAGAAAATCACACCGAGCACCATGAACTAGAACCTGACACACATTGTGAACAAGGTGAAATAAAAGTGAATTTTTCACACGATAAAATACAAAAACATTAATTTAAAACAATAACAGGACCGTACCATTACCTTGCCTGCATTAGGTAGCAGTCCAGACGGGGATAAGATAAATAAATACAAGTTAAGTACTGAACATGTATTTCTCCCTTCACAGAGGCTTGTCCGGTTCAAATAATATATTTAATGTTATTATGTGCAAGTAGAGATGGGATAGGTCGACATATTAGACCACACCTCCTGGTTTGTGGAGGGTCTCCCAGTTGGACCAGTACAAATAACAGATCACTTCTCCTGCAAGCTCCAGACCTGCAGCCTCCTCGGGTCCTTCTACAAGCAACAGGTGGGTTATAGAGAATTACTCTGTAATATGTTTTATTATCTAGAGCTAAACGTTTTAGTTTTTTTGTAATATCAAACTAGACTGTAAGATGTTTCTGTCAACCTTTAAATCGAGCCTGATTTATTTTAAATAGACTAAAGCTTAACGGAAAAAGACACTACAGAAAAGTGAGGAGAAAACGATTTATCTAATAGTTGTGCAAAAAAATAAATAAATCTTAAATTATGTTTCGTTTGTACTGTAGGTTATACATTATTGTGGTTTCATATTTTAAAGTTGAAATGTATTTCAGTTCACTTTAATACAAATAAATAGTCAGAAAAAAAGCAGTTTATTGTATGTATTATTTATTATTTGCAAGGCAATTTAGATCCATATTTGTGCAAAAACCCAAGTTTTTATTGTTACTGTGACATCTCTAAGAATCCCAGGTAGACATCAGATTTTTAATTTCTTACAAAGCATGCATCATATAATAAATAATAGTGTTTTCTTCTTCTTTTGTTCTGTCTTTTTTTTTTTTTTTAACCCAACAAGCATAAATCCAAGTGTTTGGAGCAAAGGTATGTATTCTCCCAGCAACATTTGCCTCGACGGCTGCACTGCAGAGCATCTCTCCTCCTTTCAACCTGACCCAGTGCCGTCAGATTCAGACGTGTCAGGTGCTTCTGTGACCTTACACAAAGACAGTGAGAAAATAAACATGCTGCCGGAGAGTGCTTATTACAGCAGAGGTGATGCTGGTTCGAGTTGGATTCATTCCAACCAGCTGGAGCTCAATCCATCCAGAGACTCAGTACTTTTATCCACAAAAAGGCATCCATCCAGTTATTGTGGTCACCACGACTGGAACTTAAACAGTGGCCATCAAGCAAAGCGTGCCAGAGTAGAAAATATCATCAAAGGCATGACCGGCTCCCCCGGTATGCACTGCACAGATGTGACGACGAATCAGCATGAGGTGTCAGACGGCATGCAGGAAAATGAAAGGACTCAAGAACTTCCTTTACATCAAGAGAGAAGCGGATCCGGCAGTGCGAGAAAGCAGCTTGAGAGTCAGCATGAGCACCTCAGACACCTCAGAACAAGGTTCAACCACGTGGACGGAGTAACTGACCCCACCGACAGTAGTAACGAAGACAAATATCCCACCTGGGACAATTCTCCTGAAACATCTCTTAGGGACGCTTGTATGGATTCATTCGGCGAGTTCGAGAGCAGCTCAAGTAGAAAATATCAAGGATGGAAGAAGGTGAAGCTTATGAGCTACTTCCAGTCCAAACCTGAGAGAATAAGGCTAATGGCGGATGTTTTAAAGTACGAACTGTCCAGAGCTGTCAGCAGGAGCGTCGACTCCATTTTCAAAAGCATGCCGCTTCTGCAGACTTCGCCAGACGACGAGGGGAATGTAGAGAGCAATAGTTCCCCTCAGTCACCGGTTTGCAAAGACAAAGTCAGACTTTTGTGTCGCGGGACTGAAGAGGTGCAAGTGCCGGACGTTCAAACTGAAGCTCTGTCTCTGGTTGTGCAAAAGCCTCGACTGGACAGAGCTGACAAGTTCATCCTGCAGTCCAGATCAAGAGCTCACCATCGTCTCAAACCTCTGACCCCCTTGGGTTATGACTCCGCTCTGAGTGAAGAAGAGCCGTCAGAGAAGAACACTGCTCGTCAACACGCCCTTAGGTGCTTGCAAGATGGATGCTCAGACATTGATCAGGCCAAGTACGAGACGTTTGACGCTCATTGGAATTCGGTCAAAGTGAGATCGAAGGTCAACTCCAGATCAGTCAGAAGCCCACAGACTCGTACTGTGTCAGTGGATCCTCTGCTTTTGCAAAGCCTTTGTCTCCCTCATGTCAAGATCGAGTCCGATAGCCTGGTGAAGAATAACCTGTACATGCTGAATGTATCCTTAACAAGTTTCTACATTCATGTAGTCTCATATTTCATATTTTATGTTTTCTTGTGCTTTTAAGTGGCAATCAGCAGTTACAAAAACATTTGATGTATTTTCTCTTATTGTAGCTTCTGAAGCACCTGCCTTTATATACCAGTAATAATTCGGAGGTCCAAATAACAACTCATTCTGTCACAAACCTTGTCATCATCCCAGATATGAGCTTTAAAATGAGTCGGTTCATCAACAACACTTTTCAACACCTTACAGAATCCAACTAATACTCCCTTTGATCTTCCAAACTTTGAAGAAAATTGCAGTCTCTCCATTTGTCCTGTATGTAATGATTTCTTGGAAGGAAAAGGTTTCCTGCCTCATTAACGAAGAAAAGTGTGTTTCTTATGTCTACTGTGTGTGTTTCATCCTTAACACTGGTGCATTCAGGAAGGTCTGACCACAAATCATCTGAAGAAGGCAAAGCTTATGTTCTTCTACACTCGCTACCCAAGCTCACTGGTACTGAAGATGTGTTTCCACGATGTGCAGGTGAGCACAGCAGTTTAATTCTTCCACACATCTGTGTCATTTTAATGGATTATATTTACAAAACATTACTTTATTTTACTGTCACAGTCTGTGGAAAGTTGCTGCATTTTGCATTTAAGCATATTTCTTGCAGTTCCTGAGATAAAATCGTCAACCTAAATCAAAAATCAGTCTGAAAATAGTTTTTAATGTGCTGCATGTTTTATGATCCCAAGGTTCATGAAGATGTTTTCAACACAATACTTTCAAAATGCATTTTATGTCACCACAGAATAAAGAATCAGTTCCAGACAAGTTAATAGACTTTATTTTTTATTTTTCAAAAGCTTTACAATCAAGCAATTAGATCAGGACAAAAAACATATTATTGCATTGCACTTGGATCATCTCACTTACCTGTTTTCATCCTCAGTTCACGCGCTGCATCACCTCTCAGCTCATCAAGTGGTTCAGTAACTTCAGGGAGTTTTACTACATCCAGATGGAGAAGTTTGCCAGACACGCTCTCATAGAAGGAGTGGCTGACGTGAGGGGTCTGACTGTGGGGAGAGAATCAGAACTTTTCAGAGCTCTCAACATGCACTACAACAAAGCCAATGACTTCCAGGTAACTGATACTAAACACTATAATTCCTATTACTCTGAATGTACAAAATACTGGTGAGATCTTACTGACATCATACAGATTTATCACTGATTGAAGGTATTTTATTGTTTCATTTTGATCATTTGCGGACCAACACGATTTATTTTTGTTGGATGTGTGTTGTATTTTATATTTCTCAACAGCCTCAAAGCTTAAAATAATTTTCTAATCCGTTTGTTTCACTGCAACTGCATCTCCTTGTTTGTAATTGGTATACATTTGAAAAGAAATCAGTAACAGACAGTTCATTTAATATAAACGTTCCTAAAATGTTGTAGATTATGTAAACGCGTGATATTGAATTGTGAATTGCTTTAGTAATGTATACTGTTTATTGTTCATATTATTATAATCAGAGGTCCTCTATGTGCCAACACATGTCTGCTGTTGGTTATTTTAGATGCAAAAGACAGATAATTTAATTTGTGCCAGGTAGGTAACTTTTAAAATGTATCAAAATTCTTTAAAATATATTTTTTAATATTAATATATTAATATTTTTAATTCTCTTTATTAATTTTTTCCACTTTTATATTTTCAAATACATTAGCACATACAAAGACACAAGTATTTCTTCAAAG